GCAAAAGTAACATCTATAAAATGCAAAGAAAATAAAAATTTATGTAATAAATTTTTTTCTCAACAACATCCAAAAGAATATATTTCTACTATAATAAGCAATACTCTCACATTTTGAAGAAAATTACATATTCCCACCTTCATCCATTTCGCGAGTCATCGTCCCGGTAAAAAAACAACTTGTTTTTAAAATTAGTGCAGATTTAAAAAATAATCGAAATCTGAGGCAATATTGACCGAACACAAAAAAAAAGGAGAGAAAAAAAAAACTATGACAAAACTGTATCAGGGTGGCCACTCGAATCAGATTTCAAATTTCCCTGATTTTTCCAGGTTTTCCAGATAAAAATCTTAAAATTTACAGGTTTTATCCCTCTTTATCNTTTTTTTAAAATTAAAATATGTTATAAGAGGTTAAAATGAAATAGAAAAAATTGCCATTAATGCAACAATTGTAACAATTTGTCGACAAACATTGCTGTTAGCGATTGTAAAAAAATGTGTGATTCGTTGGTTTGCTCAGAAAAAATAATTCACAGATTTCTTTGAATGGGAGTAGAAAAAGAAAAAGAGTGCGATATAAAATCTATTATCATAAAATTTAACCAACTAATTTTTGGAGAATTTTATAAAGTTAAAAATACAAAAACATTTTGTCAAAATCGAGAAAAAAAATATCCATCAAAGCATCAGAACAAACTTGAGCCATAAATGGATTCAGCCCAAGGACAGAATTTAAAAACAGAAGCTAATATCCTAATCCCTTTTTCCACCAGAATCTTTCCTAAATTTTCCTAAATTCCCATAGCGATCAAAAGTTTCCACATTTGTTTAGCAACCGTGGGAGAATTTTATATGGCATTCTAGTTTAACAGAACTATAATGGAGCAAATTTTGCTAAGTTGATGAAATTTCAACTGTTTGGCGATACATTTCCGTTATAAAAAAGTGGGTATAATGGATGAAATAATTTAAATTAAGAAAATTAGCAAATAATTTAAATTAGTGAAATTAAAAAAATTATCAAAGAAAAATTTCCAGCTTTTCTTTAAAATTCTCTGATTTTTCCAGGTTTTTATCCAAATTTCCCTGATATTTCCGGGTTTTTTCCAGCATAAAAAAATTCCCTGATAATTCCAGGTTTTCCAGGTGGGTGGCCACCCTGTGTATAAATTTATGACAAAATCATGTGAAATAGATGTTTCCATAAAGGGGTCACTCAAATGTACATTTTAAGCTGTGTGAGATGTAATAAAATAGTTTTAAAAATATATCTCTGTTATAAAAATTATACAAAAATTAAAGAAACAGGGCGTCAAATATAAATTACCCAAATGCGCAATTATTACCCAAATGCGCAAATATAAATTCAAATTTCTGCATAAAAATAATATATCGAAACATAAGGATTCAAAAAATCACATGGAAATGAGTAGCAAGAACTGTGACAAGTTGATGGAAAAATACATGGTATTGTTGTGTCCAAAAGTCACTGGTCAAATGACTGAGTCGATATTTGCATATCGTAATACTATTGTATGAAAAATACAGGGGTTTTAAATACCTTCTAAAAATTTGTATCAATAAAAACAATTGTTAGTTCAGCAAGCTAAGAGCTTTGGAAGGTCATTACTCAAATGCGAAACTTCCATGTCATAATACATTAATTTATGATAGTAGTGAAATAAAAAAAAGGAAGAAAATTACCACATTCATTAAATAATTTTTCAGTTACAAATCAGAATTTGTAACAAAATAGCCAATTACTAAAATAGAAATTTCAAAAAAAAAAAAAAAAAAAAATATANAAAAAAAAAAAAAAAAAAAAAATCATTGTGAACTATCTTTTAAATGTTTGCGATTTTGGAATTACTTTTTACATCAATTTTATTAACTTACATTTTTGCCATGTCAATTCTGGCAGAAACCATTGTTAAAGAATTTTTTCTTCTTCTTTCATGGAGATTTTTAATGTTTTTCTTAAATGTTTTAGTACCATTATGCAGCCCAGACAGCGATAAGAATTTGATTTTTTTTATTAGCACTATTTATACTGTTTAATTTAAATTATTTAGTTTCATAGAACACCATTTTAAAAGTATAACTATGTATACATATAACATGTGCAGGTGTCTGTTCAGAAGAAGTTTGGGTCCGTTAACGGACCCTTCACAAAATATCTTTTCATAAAAACGCACCCTTCACAAATTTGTTTATCTTCATTATTGTTGTTTTAATTGAATAAACCCTTCCCGGGATGGTGGAAGAAAAGACCGTTTGAGACAAACTAAGTTTCCCTAAGTTTAAATTCCAAACATACAGTGGTGGCCAATGTGGACACTTTTTGAAAGTTTCATGTTTTTCAACTTTGTGTGCATGTAGAATATATTAATTTTCACTTAAATACAATCGTTTATATATCAAATTAAAGGTAATTTAATGTAGAATTTAATAATAAATACAGTATTACAAAAAAAGTTATGCAATTAATAGTAAGATCTATCTTAGATTTGCATTTTTTTAAAGTGATACTTACACAATCAATACTTAGTAGGATAACCCTTAATTTTTAAGACAGCTTCACAGCGTCTTTTCATCGAGTGAACGAGTGTTTGGAGTTCATCTTTCGTAATCACATGGTG